CGAAGATTGGCCAGAAAAATTGATCCCGAGGCCGAAATGGACGCGCGAAGTCTGGACCAGATTTCTCCCAGTATGGCTGAGGACCAGGTAACTTTGGCTCCAGACTTCTTTGATGGGCAACCGCCGCAAGACACGACCCAGGAAACTAAACCACATATTACAGTCTGTTAGTTTAGAGAGTCCAGCGAGTTGTCGATTGGAAGACTTCATGTGTCCTCGGGAGTATTTTTTATGCCTTGAATGGCATACTTTAGGGAGTAGAAGACATGAACTCGTTTGTAGCTGTCAGTGTGGATTATGTTTTTCAGAGAATCATAATTTTGAATATATTTTATTACACGATAGTCCATAGTCAGTAGCAACAACACGCACAAAATACACTGTGGTTAGTAGTCGGTCTGAAGAAAAAAAGTTGTCGTTGATTTTTATTTATTTCCGTTTACTTGTTTCAAGTTTCTTTACAACGTTTTCTTTGTCGTTGATTATTTTTATTTGCGTTCGTTTCAAGTTTCTTTTACAACATTTTGGTTTATGGTTAGAGAACAATAGAGCACAAGACAAAATCTAGAGACAAGATGAAAGGGAAGCAAATGTTAAACAACACAATCTAGTGAACAAAATTACTCGCTATTTCACTTGAACGAAATGGTACGAGAGTGCCTCGTACAAGTTTAGTTCAGCGCCAATAAATTGAGACGAATTTCAGGTTTAACGAACTCCAATACTGAACAGGACAGAAGGCCCTAGCCTCTTCCAGGCGTTCAGTTAGTTGGGGCGCAGCGCGAAAAAACGCTGTTTTTCGCGCTGCGCCCCAGCTAACTGAACGCCTCAAAAGGCCCCAACAAGCGCGGGACTATATAATGACAACGAGGCATACGTAGACGAGGAGAACCGCAGAAGGCCGCGGGCGCGGCTTAATAACAATACAACAACAGCTATGGCGCAGTGACATTCAGTAGTAAGACGTTACACATTTCTGAAGAAACCCTCTAAGTACAAAAGACTAGTTTGTATAGTATGACCATCCAGTGAGGGTCGCATTGAAAGTGTTTCAAGATCACGACGAGGGCGACGAACGTCTCACTGCGTCGGATAATATACCAATTAGATAAGGCGCATTTTAGTACCTCACTATGGAGAATTTGTGAAAATATTCAGATTTGAAGGATTTACTTGTTTACAAGGATTTACAAGTTTGTCCCAGATCTTCCTACATGTTTATTGTTAGGGTTTGGTACATTATTCAAAAAAAGCGATATTTTTGTGAAACTATTTCTAGGTTTGGAGAAAATAAAGGGAAGAGCCCCATTTGAAACAAAAACGCACTTGTTTGGTGATTTGTCTTTTCTTTACTATCTATGAGAATTAACGGGAATGTCAATATTAATAAATGTGATCATATACCGCAAGTAAAAATAAAATAAAAAATAAATCACTTTGTCATGCTATTCAGAACTGAAAACCTGTTTTAAAAAATCCCAACTGGTTTTAGGCTGGCCAGTTGGCTATTTACAAGACGCGGAGAAGTTGAATCTGGGACAACCGAACACAAATCCACCTACAGCAGAAGGGAGGGGGACCCCCGAAGTACAACGCCAGCGCCCTAACCACCAGGCGACTCTGCCTCGCCAAACAAAAGTTCAAAAATGAGAGCCCCTCCCCCGGAATCCCCTCAAAATCATTCCGAATCCCTTTCAAATCTAAACTCATGGACTTGTATTTATTTCTTAGATTTAGTTATGTAACTTTTTTCGATTACACTCCTCCTATTGGAAAGTAAGATAGGCCTTTTATGTAGATAAAGTATGCTCAGAGCTATTTTGTGTTTCATATCCCCAAGTTTAGAGTTTTCATTATACGCACAAACATTTTAGACGCAGGTAATTCCTTGTAAAATATAAACCCAACTATTTTTGGCAACAATAATTCCTTTCGATAATAAGTTCCCCCGTCCCTATAATAGCCCCTGAACCTTGTTCCCAGGGTTAAAAGCCCCGGAAACGAGGTTGATAGCTCCCTCCCCTCCACCGGAAATGAGCCCGATCGCTCCACCTCAGGGCGTTTTAATGAAATTTGACCGCAGTTCTCGGGATTCTGCTTGACAGTGTGATGATGCTGAAAATTGGCATGTTATTTTGCAAATAAAGAATCCAAAGGGTTATGTACACACACTGTACTGTGGTGCTGGATAACAAACTGAGTGGTTTCTGTTTTAATTTATTGGCATGCTGATGCATCTGACGCAATACTGCATAACAAAGTTTGTTATTGGTAATAATCAAGAGAAAATGAGTTTCTTTTGTAATAATGAAACTGTTATGTTTGAGTTTGCTTTTATTTTACTTTTGTTTTGTTTCGTTTTGCTTTGGCAGAAGAGAGTGATCTATAGATATAGTGTTTTGACATGGCGTCACGGCAGCCACACAATGAAACGGCAGTCACGTTGGTGCCAAAATGGTAAACCAATCTTGTTTTATGTAAATACTTTCTTTTCCAGGGGCGTAGCTAGGGGGTGAGGTCCTGGGGTGTCCGTGAGCCCCCTTTTTTAAGCTTTTTTATTTTTAAGCAAGCAACCTACAACAGATGGCAGAAACGACAGGACAATCTGGTGAGTACCCTCACTTTGACACAATGTGACTCCACCTTTGTAGGATCCTGGCTACGCCCCTGTTTTCTTCCATAAATTTGCATGACTACTGGACACGAACTTTTTTAAGTGTTCATATGGATCATTGTCGCCAGGGTTGGTACTAGTAGGTTCGAATCCTGAAAGCCTCAGTGTTTTTAGCCGTTTGTTTCTTTTTTTGTGTGTGACTTTTGTAGTCTTTCCTACTAACTGAAAAATGTTTTTCGTGAAATGATCATTGATTCAAATTGGTTGTTCTGTCAGTGTCACAGGCATACTCAGAAGAAAAAGTTAAGAAATCCGAGTTTTCCAGACAGGAGTCGAACCCAAGACTTCTTATTTCGTCTTCTTTCGTTCGTTAATATTCGCAGTGATCTAAAAAAGACGAAGGTACGTCGCTTATGGACCTTTGGTCTCCGTAAAGTGAATAATCTGTAGCTCTGACAGCTTCTGTTTACGTAAAAACAAGACCTGGCGCAAAATTACTCCCAAACCAACTTCAACACCGCCCGGTCAAATTACAATGGGTACGCATCAGTGTTAACGTGGCCCGCAAGGCTAAAAAATGACGACGTTCAGGAAAAATGCAATTTTTTTTTAAAAAAATACAAGATTTAAAGCCCTTGAACGCTTGCAAAAAGCATTTTAAAACGGTCTTGCGGAATTTGCCTCTTTTAGATGGGTGTGAAATTCAAGGAAAGTAAACACTGGTAAAAATTGTTTTACGAAGCAACGGCCATAGCGACAGTTGTTTACAGTCAGAAAGTGACCACAGATATAGATCAGTTTCAACAAATATGAACGATAGTTTGTAGAAAAGCTGTTAAGACATGCACAACTCGATAATTGTAATTACTTGTGAAAAGCGTCGCCTGAATCACCACCACAGGCTTATTCATTTCCCTTATAAAAAGTAATATTCCCTACAACTGCGGCAACTTTTTACAAACACGTACAACAACCATTGNACCCCTCCCACCTGCTGGCTTGTTAAATGCTTAATCCATCGTCTAAGAAACCTTAAGTGTATTTTTCTCACACGTCTACTTTTGAACCAACCGACTTCACGCCAACATTTCCACTTTGGAAAGTATTTGAGAGAAATTCCTGAAACTTGGGTCATTCAAAGATCAACTGTGTCGTTATGCAATAAAACCGAAAAAACGTAACATTTTAACATCTGTCACGTGACACTAGATAATTTGTACACTGAAAACAAGACTTCACTGTCAAAACTTTGGTTCATTGCACAGAATTGAACGAAACAGAAACTCACTGACAACGGATGTGCTTGTTTGAAAACGAAATCTTGTTTTGTTATGAAACTGAGCAGGAACTGTTGGCGTCAATACTATAAATTAAAACCTGAAAAAGGTGTGGCTGGTTGCTATAGCAACCATTTTCAGCAAAACCTTCAAAATTTATTTTCTCTTCATGAGCGCAATCGCACGCAATTGATCTTTCTTCAACATGTTTAAACAAACTTTTTGTCCCTTTTAGCCTATTGGGCCACCTTAAGTTCTTTT